TAATAAAGGTAAAGGTAAAGGGACCCCTGACCATTAGGTCCAGTCATGGCTGATTCTGGGGTTGCGGCGCTCATCTCGCTTTATTGGCCAAGGGAGCCAGCGTACAGCTTCTGGGTCATGTGGCCAGCATGACTAAGCTGCTTCTGGAGAACCAGAGCAGTGCACGGAAACACCGTTTACCTTCCCGCCAGAGCGGTACCTATTTATCTACTTGCACTTTGACGTGCTTTCAAACTGCTAGGTTGGTAAGAGCAGGGACCGAGCGACAGGAGCTCACCCTGTCGCAAGGATTCGAACCGCTAACCTTCTGATCGGCAAGTCCTAGGCTCTGTGGTTTAACCCACAGCGCCACCCACGTCCCTTCTGCAACAGTAGTAGCTGCTACCTATAAGAGATCTTGCTTGACAGTAAAAGAAAGACACAAAGAAAAAAATTCCCTGGTACTTTGTGGAACATATTTTATTTAGAAGCTTGCGTGCTTACAGGACTATGATAACTTTCTTGTTTCTAATATGGCTGTTTTTTTAAAGTTTTCTACGACACAGGGAAAATATGTTAATTTAATATACATATTTGCAAAACTGTGCCAACTGTTTTGGCACAAATGCTACTTTGCATTTCTATAATTTCAATAATTCTTCATCTTTCTCTGTGGACTCAAATTCCACCTCTACCATTTGTCACAGGGCACCGTATTTTTCGCTCTATAAGATGCACCAGACCACAAGACACACCTAGTTTTTGGAGGAGGAAAACAAGAAAAAAAATATTCTGAATCTCAGAAGCCAGAACAGCAAGAGGGATCGCTGCGCAGTGAAAGCAGCAATTCCTCTGGCTGTTCTGGCTTCTGGGATAGCTGCGCAGCCTGCATTTGCTCCATAAGATGCACACACATTTCCCCTCACTTTTTAGGAGGGAAAAAGTGAGAGCCAGTGTGCTGTAGTGGTTAAGTCTTGTAATCTGGGGAACCGGGTTCGCGTCTCCGCTCCTCCACATGCAGCTGCTGGGTGACCTTGGGCCAGTCACACTTCTTTGAAGTCTCTCAGCCCCACTCACCTCACAGAGTGTTTGTTGTGAGGGAGGAAGGGAAAGGAGAATGTTAGCCGCTTTGAGACTCCTGAAGGGGAGTGAAAGGTGGGATATCAAATCCAAACTACTACTACTCTTCTTCTTCTTCTTCTTCTTCTTCTTCTTCTTCTTCTAGAGCAAAAAATATGATAATTCATTCCTATTCAGTCCCATCAGGGAAAATCTAGTCTTCTGATTTGCAGAGGGTGCTCTTTCTGCAGGGACATGTCTTGCCCCACTGCTTGGGACTGAAAGGAAGATAGACTCAACAATCAAATGCAACATGTGTGTTCACTTGCTGGGCAAGGTAAGGTGTGCATTAAAAGCAGCCCCAGCCTCCTTTTCAGCCTCTTGAGCATTAGGTAGCACCTCACTCACCCATCCTTCATAAGACTGTGTCATTTGCCAGTTGCCCATTTTTGGCCTGTGTAAGATTTCCCCCCCACAATTGGCTAAGGTTCATCTTTTTTCACATACTCTCAGACATTAGGTTTTTATTTGGCAGATTGGTTTAAACAGATAGGTAGGGAAATTAGCATGGACTGCCTTAGTAAGTATCCTGAGACATCAGCATAATTAACTACCTATCATTGCAAACTGACTTCAGTGGAGGGCAGGGTCCCTTAGGCCCTGCAGGCCCTTGTGTGTCTGCTCCTCTGACAAGGGCAAAAGAGGGTAACTGGAACATGGACAGCAACTACTGCAAGCAGAACTGGTAACAAAATGAAAGGAAAACCCAACAGAGTGCTGCCAAATCAAGGGCCCACCAATTCCTAATTTAGCCAAGTGGCATTGCATGAGCAGAGTTTCTGTCTAAAAAACAGCAACAACTAATTAATACCAAGCCAATTAGAAGTCATATGGAAATTGGTCAAATGAGTCAAGGAAGGATTGGCGATAAAATCAATTCAGTTCACATTTTAATGTGACTTCATCTAAGCAACTACTCAAAACAATACACAAACCGAAACACAAGTATCATTTGAAATTTACATTTCTCTGAATTTTGCAGAGCATCCTTCAACCCCCAGAAAGTATCTATTAAAGGTAAATGTCCATAAAAATGCAGATATTGGTGAAAATAATTTCATTTTATTGGGGTAAATTGTTTGGAAAAAAATGTGTTTAATGGGCAAAATTGCATCCAAAAATGTAACTATTAGAATAAATGTATGTTAAACTGCTTTCAAATTTACATGAGGTGATCCATGGAATATACACTAAATAATAACACAATTGTGCAATACCATCAATTGAAAATGGAATATATTGGGAGGTTTGCAAATACACACAGCTGAGAAACTCAAAAACTATTCTCTCTCTTTTGGGCAGATAAAATGGGTTATTAGTTTCAGCCCAGCCTCAATACTCTTGCACCTCACAGGGACTGTAGGCACCTTCCTCTTTAAAGTGTCCTCCGAGAGGCTATAATTGTTGTTCTGTTTGCTCATTGAAAGACCTTTCTCACATTTTTTCCTGTACTTTAGATATTTTGTGGGATATTTGCCTCCATCAATGGCAGCTGAAATGCAATTGAAAAGTTCACTTTTATCCTACGGTGGGAATTTCCCAGCTGGATGCTCTCATTTGACTTACAACCCCCTGATGTTTTTTTAAACACATTTCTGACAACAACCCTTTTTCTAGTCTTTGTATTGTAAAGAATCATTTCTTTTGACCCTGATAGGCAGGCAGCAAAATGTTTCTGTTGATTTCTAAGCTTGAAGTAATTCTTCAGCTATAATTGGAACATGGCTGCATTAGAAAAGAGCAAAACATAGCTCTGGGTACACTCCATGGGGAACACATTTTGCATGAGTCCCATTTAAATGAATTAAAGCTACACATGTAGTGGTCATTTCATTGAAGGATGCAAAAAGTTCTTTCTGCTTAGTGATCTCCCCCAACCCACCCCACGTTCTGAATTCATGAAGAGAAGGTCAAGATTATACACCTGAAATGGATTTTCAGGTAGTCTTTCTCAAACAGCAGCTCTTTTGCTCTAATGCTACATGGAAAAATTGCTGTTGAAGCATAGGAGACATTCAGAAGCAGTTTGTGATAACGGCACAAGACAACTGCTGCTCATAGAAAAACACCTCCATCCAATGGATCTGTATCTCCCTCTTCTGAAAGATAACCTCAGACTATGTGAGGATTAGGTCAAAGAATAGGTTTGTATACAACACATCCTGAAATGTCTCATTGTGGGCGAAGGGAAAAACATTACTTGGGGGGGATAGATTACATGACATGGGACAGTTGGCCAGGCATGGCTGGCTTTTATAGCCAGGGAGCAGACCAGAGGAAAGAAGTGGCTGCAACTGTGGGTGTCAGGGACTGGACAGAAAGGGACGAGATGGAGGAGGAATGCGGGAGATCGCCCCCCCTCCTGTAGCTTCCAGAGAAGCGGAAGGTAGTATTGAATTACAGCAGGGGTTTGAGGAAGATCACAGTGCAGAGACCCATGAACAGAAGAGTTGGGAGGTGTTAGGAGAAGGGGGAGGGGAGGCAGAGCCAGTTGACACGTTGTCACTGGAGACTATTTCTGACCCCCCTTCGCCCAGAACTCAGTTTTCATTAAGAGTTCAAGAACAAAGGACTCAGAGACAGTTTGCCATGAACGGACACCGTGAGGGGAAATGCCATTGCTAGGAAGGAAGGAAGGGAGGAGGAGCTCAGTTGAAGCAACTCCATTACCTGGAGGCAGACTGCATTCTTTTGTCTATCGCTATTATGAATGAAAAGACTCATTAGAAAGGACTCTACAGTATACCTGAAGGAGTGTCTCCACCCCCACCGTTCTGCCCAGATACTGAGGTCCAGCACTGAGGGCCTTCTGGCAGTTCCCTCACTGTGAGAAGCCAAGTTACAGGGAACCAGGGAGAGGGCCTTCTCGGTAGTGGCACCCGCCCTGTGGAACGCCCTCCCACAAGATGTCAAAGAGAAGAATAACTACCAGATTTTTAGAAAGACATCTGAAGGCAGCCCTGTTTAGGGAAGCTTTTAATTTTTGACGGACTACTGTATTTTCATATTTTGTTGGAAGCCACCCAGAGTGGCTGGGGAAACCCAGCCAGATGGGTGGGGTATAAAGAACATATTATTATTATTATTATTATTATTATTATTATTATTTTGTTTTCTCTGCTTCTTGCTGCCACTGGGTGAAGGGTCAGAATTCCTTGAGCCTGATAGTGGGTGAGCCCCAGTAGCCAGTGAGACCAGTGGAGGGTGAGGTGCAGGGAGGGAGATCAGTGTTGCACTCAAGTTTGGCTTGTGGGCTTCCCATGGTTGCCTAGGTGGCCACTGTGAGAGTAACACAGCAAGGCTTTTTTATATGCATTTGTGATAGAGTAACTCTGTTTACCTCTGGAAAGCGAAGCTGTGTGCTAAAAGTTCAGTGTATTAAAATTTGCAGAAGCTTGAAAATAACCCCCTTTCTTCAAGAAATTGGCCAGATCATTTCTTATTTTTTTAATATTATATAAAAAATCAAACTGTGCTTTGCGCACAGCAGGGAGTGCATTTGATTAACTGCTGACAAGAAAGAAGGCAGTGAATAACTAGACATCAAAGGAGCAACTTTGACAGCACTAGTTGGGCAGTGATTAATGAGCAAAGCAAATGGAGACTTCAGGAATATGCAGAGATGGAACTCAAACCTCATCATATAGAGTTCATGTAAGATATTAATTGGTTAAAAACAGCACTTAAAGTAATTAATGGTGTCAGTAGCGTTTTAGGATAGGATTTGGTATGCAACTATGTTGAATAAACCACAATATTAAGAAACTGGAAGGTTAGCATGTAATTTAAAAGGAAAAGGTATACTGCCATTATGTCAAGGAAGAATAACTGATTTCTGAACTCACAACATATCATTTATCTATATCGGAATTACAAGCCTCACTCTGCATGAATGCTATATTGTGATAGCTAGGCTGCAATCCTGTGCTAGTTTCCTTCACATTGGTCCTATTGAGATCCATGTCTAGGACTGCACTATTAGAAAATAAGGATATATATTCCACTCTTCCTTCTCCCAGTACAAAAAGATCAAAAGAAAATCAAAATCAACAATCACATGGTCACATAATGGCTCATACACTTAAGGCCAGGTATTGCCAATTTGAAACTTTTGGGTACCAGTGACACCATTACCTCCTATGGTGCCTAAGAAAGGTCCTAGTTTAAAAATAAAATAAAAATAAAAATCCTACAAAAATTCACAAGATACTATTTGTTTGTCCTGCTTGGTCCACGTTTGACTGGCTTGGCATCTCCTACATTGAACATGCTTCCTTAAACATATCCACATTTCACTGGATTCCAACATTTGATACCCATCCTTACTTCTTCTCTAAGTGCAGAGGGAGTTGACACAAGTGTTGCCCCTCCTCCTTCATTGAAGTTGTATGCGTGTCATCTAGGCATTTTGTGGTCCTTTTTTGTTTTTTACATGAACCATTCTGTGTTATGCCACACTCTACAGCAGCTGATTTATGAAAAACATCCACAGAACTTTCTTAAAATTCCAGATGTCCTCAATGCTCCCCAAATGCTGGCACCTCCCACATAAAGCTGTGAGGGCTATAAATCAGGATGGCCTCCTTCTGCATCTGAAAATATTGCCTTTGGGAAGAAGCAGGCAGTATATTGCCTAGCCAGAGTAAGCTAAGCTGCTTAGACTAACATTGGGTCCAGACGTTAACAGCTGGCCCCTGCCTTAGCCAGAGTTTCTGCATTTTATTTAAGTAATGCTACTATTACTTCTGCTGCTGCTGTTGTTGCTGCTGCTGCTCCTCCTCCTACTAATAATAATAATGTGTCCTGGCCCTGTGTCTTACCTTTTTTTCTTTGTGTGCAAATAGTTATTATTTTAGAATTACCCATTTCGGTTAGGGCCATAGGATGCTTGCTCCATGGACTTCCAAAAATATGAAAGGTAATATATAGAGAACAGTAAAGCAGAGTGTTCTCCAAAAGGCATGAAACTTGGTAGAAAGTGTATGTGTCAGATTTGCTGTGTATTAATTTAACTAATAAAACTACAATGGACAATGGCATTCCATTTCAGCACATTTAAGAGGAAGGATGGGAACATGTAACAAACTGCCCAACAAAACAGAGTGTGCTTAGCACTACATTGTTCTGGAGTTTTGGCATCCCTTGGTAGTTCCTATTGTGCTTTGAACAACCTCTCCTTAAAATGTCACAAATGCATACAGGTGGGTGGAGATCTTTGTGGCTCATGTTTTTCATTTAACACAGTTCTATTTTTATTTTGCAAGAGGTCACACAAGAGGTTGAGGGAAGAGATCAGCTCTGGGGAGCTTGTGCTCACTTCTGTCTAAACAGTTTGCTTTAATACTGGATGGACCTGACATAAATGAAAGAAGTGATAATCAGGGTAATATGCCTGGCTCTTGCTTAAAGTTGGAAGATTGGGTTTTATTATCATCAAAACAAAACACAATAGTGGCAGTCATGTTTGCATTCCCAGGGTGAATGGAATGAATGGAATTCCAATAATGTAGATCATTGTTATTCTGTTCTACTTACTATTTCTAAAACTGAATTCACAATTGGTGGGTGTACAGTCTCTTCCCCATTCTTAACAGGTTGCCAATGTGCACCAGAACATGCAAACATTTATTAAATCAAGGCATGAATAAATTTTGATGCGATCACATGACTGCATCAGGATTGCTTCTCATGCTGTGATGAAATTGATGTGCATATGTTGTGGCGTGCTTCAGTAACTAATAAGAGGGTGGGGTGAGGGAAAGCACATGAACTGATGAATACACAAAACTGAACATCAGCTGCAGTATGAACAATGTATAAAACAATAGTACAGTGGTACCTTGGTTTATGAACTTAATCCGTTCCGGAAGTCAGTTCTTAAACCGAAGCATTCTTAAACCAAGGCACGCTTTCCCATAGAAAGTAATGCAAAATGGATTAATCCGTTCCAGACTTTTAAAAACAACCCCTAAATCAGTAATTTAACATGAATTTTACTATCTAACAAGACCACTGATCCACAAAATGGAAGCAATAATCAATGCACTGTGCTATAAAATAAATAAAACAGTGTTGTAGATTATTAAAATTTAAAAAAAAATTCTTACCTGCACTGATGATAGTCATCATTTGGATGTAGGGCTTTTATCCATTTCTGGTCACACATTCAAGCAAGCAAGCAAGCAAGCAAGCAAGCAAGCAGTAGCTAAACTGGGATCCACACAGATCCCCCCACCACGCTGCTGCAGGAAATGCTCCCTAGAGCGTGTACCTCCCACAGCGGCATGGGGGAGAGTTGCAAGCCCGCCAACCATGTGGCTGGTGGGTGCACAGCTCCCGTCTCTCGTGGCTGCAGGAAACGCTCTCCTCCCACAGCGGCATGGGAGTAGGTGTTGTGCACCTGCAAACCAGCTGGTTGGTGGGCGCGCAGCTTCCCTTCCTTGTGGCTGCAGGAAACACTGTGACAGCCTCCTTTTCCACTGCTGCACAATGGAAGTGTGGCACTAAAAACAGAAGTGTACCCCGAACGGAGTGCATTCGTATACCAATAAAAATCCGCAACTCATTTCTGGGTCTGAAGTGTTCATAATCCAAAAAGCTCGTTAACTAGGCTGTCCGTAACCCAAATTACCACTCTACCGCTTTTGTAAGGCAACACCAATGGCTAAAAGAACATACTGGGTGGTCCATAAGAACTGTGATGAAGGGAGCAGGTCCAATAAGTGTGTCTCACACTCACATGACTGGAATTACATAAGGGAGAACAAGTAAGGAGGATATGTTTCCAGGTGTGGATTGTGTGATGGGTACACACTTGAGGGTGTTCCTGTGTAGAACTCAATGAGGGTATAGCCCATGCGCCAGTGTCCACTATAGTTGAGTTGTACAAATTGGCATGTGCACACTCACTCACTCACTCACTCACACACACACACACACACACACACAAAAAGCCATACATGTGTAGAAATACTATGTACCTATGCTCAGTGTAACAGCCCCCTTGTGTTTTGCGCAAGTTGGAACATAGGAAGCTTACTTCTGTTGAGTGGAACCATTGGCCTATTTGTCAGCTACAGTCACAAGCAGCAGCTCTTTGGGGATTTACACAGGTGTCTTTCCCAGATGTGCCTTGGTATGAACATGGGACTTTTCCAACGTACTTGCCATTGAACAACAACTCTTGCTTGCAGTGTGGAAGAGCTAGTTGGAAATATGACACGGTCAGGAATGTTGCTTTACAGGTTACACGGGTTCAGTATCTCATTCCCTTGTGCATGAATTCTGTTACGATTTAGATATAATGCATTTCAGGGTGATAATTCAGAGATTCCTTCAGTAAGTTACATTCTCTTGGGGAATTTTCTTTTTTTTTAAAATAAAATAAAATGCTGCTGCCAAGTATCTCCAACAAAATGTAGCCTCCTCCGCTGACTTGTTACATTCTTCATTGGGCTTCAGTAACATTAAGGAAAAGATAACAAGATAATTGAGTTGCAAAGTCAATACTAAACTAATCCATAAACTGTAGATATTTTCCCCTCTAGCATCTTCTTTCCAGGAAGCAAAATGTTCAAGTTAATTTAACCATCCTAATTTAACTTAGAGGCTGATAATCTGATTGCTTGTCTTTTACAATAAGGGTGGAGGAGAGAAGTAAAGATAGAAAACTCTAATGTAGCATCTCAGAATTCATGACATATTGGAGTCATTTAGTAGGGTTTCCTTTTATATAATTTCAAGAGTATGCTAACTTGGATACAGGGAAAGTGTTCTTCGATTATGGTGACATAAATGTCATATTTATGGGAGTGAATTGACTTGATGTATTCGGAAGCATGCATTGATTTTTATTTTTTTAAGCCCTTCACCAACCTGGTGCCCTGCAGATGCTTTATAACTCCCATCAGTTCCATCAAGCATGGCCAATGTTCAGGGATGGTGGGAATCAGTAGTGCCACCTTGAATAAAATATTGTGTGGGACTGCCCCCCACTCCACATGGAAGGTCTTATGATCCCATAATCTTATACTTTTTTATCCGCCCCTTCATCAAAATTCTGTCCATGATTACCCAAACCACCAGCTCCTTGTTTGAAGCTGAGGTTTGCAATAGTTTCTTCTTGTTCCATTTCTATAGGTGAATTCAGTGAAAGGGGTTTTGTTTTTTGGTTTTTTTTGGAAGCTGTACTTTATCCAACTGAAAGAGCATTTGTTGACCCCACCTCCCTTTTCATTTTTCTTCTGGGCTCCTGATTTGTAAGAAAACGTTCTGGAGATATCATTTATAAATTAATATTTTTTTATATCTGAAAAAAGGGAAAAAATATAAAAAGACAAAAAACACCCCAAAACCTAATAATTTAGTAGTAGTAGAAGTACTGGTAGCAGTGGTAGTAATATTTCCGTACGTTAGGAATTGAAATTGTACCAAATCTGGTACATTAGTACCAAATGTGGCAATGGTGTGTTGTTGTTGTTGTTGCTGTTGTTGTTGTTTAGTCATTTAGTCGTGTCCAACTCTTCGTGACCCCCTGGACCAGAGCACGCCAGGCACTTCTGTCTTCCACTGCCTCCCGCAGTTTGGTCAAACTCATGCTGGTAGCTTCAAGAACACTATCCAACCATCTTGTCCTCTGTCATCATCCCCTTCTCCTTGTGCCCTCCATCTTTCCCAACATCAGGGTCTTCTCCAGGGAGTCTTCTCTTCTCATGAGGTGGCCAAAGTATTGGAGTCTCAGCTTCAGGATCTGTCCTTCCAGTGAGCACTCAGGGCTGATTTCCTTAAGAATGGATAGGTTTGATCTTCTTGCAGTCCATGGGACTCTCAAGAGTCTCCTCCAGCACCATAATTCAAAAGCATCAATTCTTCGTCGATCAGCCTTCTTTATGGTCCAGCTTTCACTGGTGTGTTTCAATGGTGTGTTAGACTCTGACAAAAAACAGAACTGAATGGTTAAAGCACACTAATGCATTCAAGGGTTAAAGCACACTAATGCATTCAAGGGTTAAAGCACACTAATGCAGTGATGCTATGATGAAAGTGAATAATATTGTTCAGTATACGTCTACATTTCCTAACACTACATGTTGTTTGGGATCATAATTTCTACGCATTGCAATATATAAGACTATGTAGGCTTGCACAACATGAGCACACTAGTATTCAAGAACTGCAGGGCCACATTCCTTTCCAGGCAACCTTTTGTGGGCCATATGCCTCTGATGGGCAGAGTCAGAGTCAAAGGTAGGTGGATCAATGAATATAAATCTTACATTTGTACAGTTGGCTAGTTTTTACACGCATTCACACACTTGTCTGTATACTCCATTTAGGCAATCCCCGGCTGTACTTGAGGGACGACTCCAACAGATTCCACACAAAAAACGTTTATGTCCCTGTGGATATGGCAGGACCAAATCAGTGGCACATGTCCTTCTGGCTTGCACTCTTTAGATTATCACCCAACTTTTATTGCCCATTCTGGGTCAACCAACCACTGCCACATTGTCCTTTCTCTTGGCAGATCAAGATGAGCAGGTGACAGCAAAGGTTGCAAGGTTTTTAGCTGGGGTAATCAGAATAAGGTCAACTATTAGACAATTGATTCAAAACACTAAAATGTATTTTATATAACTTTATATAATCAAGAGCCATTGGTGCTCAGGGACATCCCAGCCAGGCAAAAAGCAAGGCTGGTGAGGTGTGCAGCCTGAGGAGGGGATGTAGCCTGGGGGATAAGTCCAAAGGTGAGACACAGAGGCCTAGGAGATCAGATTTTGCTTCCAGGCTTGAGGTTCCCCACTCCGTTCTGAATGCATCACATGCTACCTTGGTGTTTCCTAGCAATCTTTTCCCAAATCTCTGAACTTGGCCCATTATGCTGAGAGTAAAATTGTAACTGTGACCAGCACACACATTTATACATCACTCATTTTCTCAGTACTTGGTGGCACACTACTGAATGTGTGAATGGACTCCACTGAAAACCAGCATTGCATTTTAATTGTGTGTCTAAGGCTGGAAAATGGCCCAACAAAAAGAATACTTTCTGTATGAAAGATTTTGTTTGTTTGTTTTAAAGGACACACAGAGTGAGAGAGTGTGGCATTTGGCATAGGTGATGTGACTTTAAACTAGCTACTCCCAAGCGGAGGCATCTAAGGACCTCTACTTCAATGCACTCTCTGTGTTTAGAAGTAAACTCGTTTAACTATTAACAAATTTTGAATAGTTCATAGATGTCCCTCATTCCATCTGCTGCCTTCCACGCTTCCAGAAGAATGGTTATGATGAGAGCTGCAGTAGCAGATGATCAATATGTGCACAACCATTAATTCACAAAGGAGAACGAATTTGTTTCTGAATGTACCTGGAGTGTTTCCATAGCATAACAATGCATTGTAATCAAGCGTGAGCAATAAGGAGCAGGTGGGGGGAGGTGAGAAGGAAGTGCAGCACAGAAATATAAAACCTTTAGAGACTTGCTGTGTCTTACAAGATGAAACCAATTTGTTGCTCTTTCATAGCACAACATTGTGGCTCAGATGCATTTCTGGAATGACTATTGTACTGTCAAAACTTTTTGGCTTGAATTTGAGAGGGTAGATGATAATGATGGGAATGTTGCCAGTGATGATGATTTGGTAAGGCTGATCTTCAGAGGGGCAAGTTTTCTTCAAAGTGTTTGTTGAGGGGAATGAGTGGCCACCATTGTCAGAAGCACAGTTATTCTTTATTTTATTTTTTTGCAGCTTTATAGGTCTGGTCAACCTTTGTTTAGTTTTGATGGTTCTCCCAAATTTGGGATAGCACTTTCAAATGAACCTCTGAAATGAAAGAAGGGGGTCAAGCAAAATGGTTTGAGGATGGAGGGTGCTTACTATTGCCACAGGAAATGGAAGGTTTCTTTTCTTCTTTTATTTCGTACAGATGCTCATGTTTTTGGCCTGTGTCTATTATCTTCTTTCAGGGCACATTAGAATCCAATACTATAACCTTATTTCTTATTTTAATTTCACTACACACAAGCATATCTCAGGGTTAGAGGTGTAAGGGAATTCTGAGGGAAACGGGAATGGAAATTTCCAGTGTTGGCCAATTTGTTCAATGTCCAAAATGAAAATCAATCCAATGAAAACAACCAGCATTTGTGATGGTTGTTGCTCTCCAGTGTACACCCAATATATAGTTCTCTCTCTCTCTCTCTCTCTCTCTCTCTCTCTCTCTCTCTCTCTCACACACACACACACACACACACACACACACCATTCTGCACTGTGTTTCCTGTGCATTAAAATGAATAGGATGAAGTAACACAATAAAGTAACTGACATAGCATATCTCTGTCACATTGGAGAACAAGACAAATAACAGTTTTTGACAGAAAGTGAACTGCAATAGAAAGGGAAAAGTGTTGCATGTGACATATGCAGGGTGGAACAGAAAAAGATGCATTTTTATCATTTCCCAGGGTTACAGTTGGCTTTATCTCCAGACTGTCCCCTTGCAAACTCAGTATGATGCCACAGGGCAGGAGCTCTTTATTTCCCTTCTCAGCCATCCTTTGCCATCAGTAATAAATCCCACAAGACAAATAATCACTTCAGAAACACACTGTGAAGTCCAGCCCATTAAATGGATTGACACAGGTATAAACAACTGGAATTTAGTGGTCAGCAATTGCTGGAAACAAGATGGACTATGTGTGGGGGCCCCTCATAATCTCTGGTGTTGCTCCATGGCACTATCTGGCTTCCTCACAATCCAAGTAAGCAACATTTGCCATTAAGGATCTTAAGATAGTAAGATTTGTACAGACTTCCCACATTCTCAAGCCAACTTTTATGGGACAGAAAATCAATTTGCTTGTGCAACATCTGCTGTATGTGCTACAGTTGACTGTTGAACAGGAGCATGTTTGGGAAGCAACTAAGATTTTATGAGGCTGCTTGACGCAAGTGAGAATAACGGTGTACTGTGTACATGAGCAGGCAATAAGGATTCTTTTTCAACATGTAGAGCCTTTCACACATGTAGAGCTTTACATCACAGGACTGATTCTTCCTTCTATTGGCCAGGAGGTGGAGAAGGAGGAGAAAGGATCACCCTACAGGATTCAATTGTTCATTCAGCAGCTGGTGAGCTGAGGATTCAATCATCAGGGTGCTGGTTTGCAATCACCTCTCCTATGGGGATTAAATCCTCTGCTCCTCGGTCTTATTTGGTTCAAGATTTGGCCACATCCAGTACACAGCCCGAGTATCAACCAGTGTTACTCTGCTAAAAGGCAGATTTCTACCTCCCTTGTGTTTCCTATGCTTTGGGACCCATGCAGCATTCTATGCTATGGCTGTGCTAGGCATTTTGGTCTATGGGACAAAGCCTATCTTCCCTCTTCTTCTCATGAACTGGGTCCACTCAGAGGTTTGTTTCTATTGATTTAGCTTAGTCACTGCAGGTGCAGGACTGCAAAAAGGCCTACTAAAGGTTCATAATATGCTGCTGGTTGTTAGTGAATGCTAATCTACAATACTCTTTCTTTTCAAACTATATTGTTGAGAGATGCTGATCCCCAAAGGACAATTATATATTTTTCAAAAATCACTTCTTCTTTCTATTATTTTTTAAACTGGCCAGATTATGTTATTGCATTTTCTGGAAATAATTGGGCACGCTGCCCTTGCATCTATTGCCCTCTTTCTCATCAGCAATAACAGACACAATAAATAAAAATGGAGTCTGCCTATTAGACAAGGGAAACGTTCTCTGCTCCAGTTTTGCTCACTGCCTCCATGTGTTTGTTTTTATTTGTTTGAGGCCTCTGTTTCCTATGAGTCGTATTTTTCCCTAATGGCAGTCATTCCAAATAGGCACAGCATATTCCCCAGCTTCCATGGATGACACTTGCTATCTCCATAATAATAATCATTTGGCTTCAAATTTGAACCATCGGCTGGGTGAGGACTGCAGAGCCTGCTCCCTTCCAGGGCCTTTTCCAACTGGCCCAGGGGGCGTGGCCCAGGCCCTTATTTGGAACAAACTTTGGGGGAAGTATGGGAAGTGTTCTGCCATTGCTTCCCTGTTCCAGGTGGTTAATGTGCTTTAAAATGTCCTCAAGCAGTCGGTGGCAATTTAAATTTTTATTTCTTTTTTTCCTTTTTTCCTTTGTTGGGAGTGGGTGGGTGGGATGGATATTTGGTTGGGGATTAATTTTAGTATACTTGTTTTGTTCCTTTTTTTGTTGTTGTTTTATTGGTTCTGTATAGTTTGTGTTTTGTTTTTAAGGGGCGGGATCAGGGCTGTCTGGGA